AGTGTAAAGTCCTGCATTTGGGGAGGAACAACCCCATGCATCAGTCCAGGCTGGGGGCTATCTGCTGGAGAGCAGTTCTGGAGAAAAGGACCTGGGAGTCCTAGTTGATAGCAGGATGACCATGAGCCAGCAGTGTGCTCTTGCAGCCAAGAAGGCCAATGGCATCCTGGGGTGCATTAAGAGGTACGTGGCCAAAAGGTCAAGGGAAGTCATCCTTCCCCTCTACTCTGCCCTGGTGAGGCCCCACCTGGAACACTGTGTGCAGTTCTGAGCTTCTCGGTTCAAGGAGGACAAAGAAATTTCGGCAAGGGTCCAGCACAAGGCTACTAAGATGATCAGGGGCCTGGAGCACCTGTCACATGAGGAAAGGCTCAGCACGCTGGGGATGCTTAGCTTGGAGAGGAGGAGGCTGAGGGGGAATCTTATTAATGCTTATAAATATCTAAAGGGTGGGTGTCAGGAAGATGGGGCCAGGCTCTTCTCAGTGGTGTCTGGTGCCAGGACATGAGGCAATGGCCACAAGCTGGTGAACAAGAGGCTCAAGCTGAAGATAAGGAAGAACTTCTTTACAATGAGAGTACCAGAGCACTGGAATGGGGTGCCCAGGGGGGTGGTGGAGTCGCCATCTCTGGAGACTTTCAAGGCACACCTGGACATGTTCCTGTGTGATGTACTCTAGGGGATCCTGCTCTGGCAGGGGGGTTGGACTAGATGATCTTTTGAGGTCCCTTCCAACCCCTAACATTCTGTGAATCTGTGACTATAAATACAAATTATTCTAGGACATACATACAGCCAATTAGCACAATTATATATTATTTTTTGACACAGCATTTCAAATCTAAACACTGAGTAGTTTTAAGTCACAAAAGGAATAAAGGCTTGCCTTCATTAGGTTATCAGTTGTTTGACTATTTGCATTTCCTTTGATTTCACTACAAACACCTTTATTTCATCAATATATTTTTGTTTTTAATAAATGCAAAAGTTTTTCCTTATCTCTCTGCTCATTTGCAAAAAAAATCAGAGCAATTTTGAATTGAGTTATTGTTCCAAGTAACAGAGGCACTGGTACCTACAGTCCAACACATGGAACAAGTCTCTCTCGCCCATTTAAGCTTTTGAGCTACAAAGAAGAAAGGAAAATCTGCTTTCTTTGTCCAGCTCAGGAGGGAAAAAGCTAAGAGGCTTAGAGTACAGATAGGAAGTTCTACAGTAGGAAAAGTTTCTCCACTGCTAAGGAGATTAGATTGACTGAGGAGGATATCATTTGCTGTTCTAAGGCTACTAAGAATGGCAGAAGGTTTCTATAGCAAGATGTCCAGACGCTGCTGTTCTTCTGTCAGTAATGTTTCAGTACAGTAGATCTTGCTTTTCTGAAGCTGAAGGATAGGGAAGACAACTTTTGGCAATTCCTTTCACTTACATTTTCCTGCCATCTGCACTTTTAATTTTTTTTTTTTTTTTTTTACTACTTTCTGCTTTATAGAACTGATTTTCCAGGTACAATTGCATTGCAAATTTCAGTGACTTACTTCAGACTGAAAAACATTAATTTATTCTCTACCAGATCCAGAATTTCAGAACTAAGTATGTTCAATGTCTTAACTCAGAGTCTTTATAATTTAGATCATGCAACTTACCTTTTTATTTTTTTTGCATCACCTTTGTATTCGACAAACTCATAAACAAACTTTGAGATTATATCATCAACAACTTGATACTGTGTGCTTTGTGCAAAATTTTGGTGCTGTTCACTTTCAAGATGCTGAAATTAAAGAAAAAAACATGAAACGTACATTCCTATCTGCAGTATTAGATTTAAGTCAACAGTATGATATGGAGCAAAAAGTACATTTCATTCATTTATTACCAGTGTCTCTGACACATACTACTAGTACCTTCTATCATACAAAGCAGCAGCAATCAAAAATTAAAACCTCTAGTACACTATAATTCCCAAATTGGGGAAAAAAAAAATGACCAATTCCTGTTTTTTAGAAGATATTCAGAAAATCTTTTAAGATAAAAACATTAAACTAGCAAGTAGAAGCCACTGCTGATACCACTCTGAAGAGATACAACTGCATCAAAGCAGGTACTTCATGTTGCACATACTGTTTGCAGATCTTCATATTTCTTCTCACAACATTCACAATATCCTCTCTTTTTTTTGTCCTTCTGAGGGAGCTGAACAGGAGTTCCACAGTCCTTGTCACTATTCATTTTATTTCTGTCAACAGAAAAGATGTCTCAAATACAAAGTTGAGTTCTATACTTGACTATCATGTTACATTAATTCTTATTCCCTTGTAAAAATAAAAACCACCCTTTACTTCCTTTCAAGCTATTTACATTATGTTAGTCAATGCTCAGGAAAAATAAAAATTACGCATTAAATAAAAATATTTCCTGCAAGATGACATGCAGATGCAGTGGAACTACATGTAACCATAACACATCCAGGTTAGTACAGATGAACGACTACCACTAACGCAGAACATACAATGCAAACTTGCTAAATAAAAATAACCTCACTTGACAAATCAAAGAATATAATGAAATCTCTGTGCATAGCTGATAAAAGGAGGTTTGATAAAATCAAAACCGGAAAAAAAAAAAAAAACAGTCTTCTTACACCTCATTGATTGTCAGTAGTTTTGATGCCAAAACATGCAGCAAAAACTTAGTCTAACAGATGACCTCGCATTCATTCTTTGGTAAAAGAACAATTGTATTTGTTGCTTATACCTAAGTTTTGAATATGCTGATCAAATGCCATTTGACCCATTTTTCTAGGTATAGGCTAAGTGGAAATACAAGAAAATGGACCTCAGGTTCTTCCTGGAGATTAAAACACAGAGAGGTTTTCAATAGCTGCTCCATGACCTTCAGAGTCCTCTGGTGAGAGCTACCGTTTACTGCAATTCACTATTACACCACCTAAGGATGATAGGCTAGTGGTAAAGCAAGCCCACCAATCTCTACTTCCCTTTGACTTCAAAGGAATAGTGCCAACTCCCTGTCAATCATTCTGACCAACTTTACCAAGTATCTTGCATAGATGTAAGCTCAGGACTTCACACACACAAAAAAAAAAAAACATCCTAAAAAATCTCCAAGTTCCAAAGCGTAGCAGTGTGTTGTTCAGCACGGTATGGGTACGCTGCCTTCAACCGATGCTGTCAGTCAAGCCTACATTGTTAACAACTGCCCCAGTGCTTGTGGGTTCCACAGGACAGGCTCCACCTAACTCTGCACTTCTACTATTCCACTCACTTCTCTACCTTCCCTCTTTAGAACTGTAAAAATCCCAGAGAATCACTAAAGCAGGTTATAAGCAATAAAATTTATCAACTGAAGACTGAATAATGTCTGCAGGTCTTGCCTGATGCAACTCACAGCTTTGAATTGACACCTTTGCTTCAACAAGCTTTTCTCCCTGATGAAACAAGTGAGCACTCCCCTTTCTCCTGTAACTGATGCTCCTCACAGTTACCTGCTGAGCATGAAAGAATCTCCCACCTAAAAACCTAAATATAAAAAGAATATGGTCCTTTTTTTTTTTTAATGCTTTAAAATGAATGGGGCTTCCTAACCCCCTGTGAAGAGAGACAATCAGAAAACTGCCTTATTGCAAGGGTTAGTGCTGTATTATAGCTACTTTGCTTTTTTTGTACTGATACACTAGTCGCAATTAACCCAAGCACAAAAAAACCCCAAACAACACAGCAAAAGTTACTAGATACAAAAAATTCCATGGATAGCAAAGCTATCTTTCACCTAAGCACCTCCTCATATGAATAAATTTTATAAGTCAAAGAAAGAATCATCAATATTCCACATATGCTAGGTAGAAGAAATTCAGAGTGATACTTTGATTCACCAAAAAACAGATAAATCAGTTTTGAATAATAAAATTGATTTACCAGAAGTTCCAGTTGCATCCATAGTGCTCAAATAGAGCCTGAATGACTAAATGTATCATAGAAAAACTTGCTGTAAGACCAACTGCAATTGTACTGAGCAGCTGGCATCCACTTTCCACCCCTGAGGAGCTGAAGCAGTTATTTGCAGAGTCTAATTTCTATAAATTTGACTACCAACAGTGTGCACTCTTTATCAACAATGACTTTGCATTATGACTGAATATCACGATTTCAAAAATTTTGAACTGCCTACTTTAGCTTTATACTGACAAAAATCAAAAGAAGTCTTAAGAAATCCACTTTTTGTAATTACTTACTGGATAGCATCCAAGATGAGGACAAAGAAGAAACCAGTGGCAGAAAGGAAAAAATACCTTATGCTGACCCACAGTGATAGGAGGCCACATTTTTGGATGCATGCATCTGTATGTCCAAGAAAAGGACTAAAGACAGGATAAAGAGGGTACAGAAAGATAAACAGACACCAACAATTACAGTGCAGCAAGTAAAGCAGCTGAGACATGGCCATTAGTACCAAATATAACACAAAGTCAGAAGCAGAGTAATTATTTTGGAGCACAACTACTTTAGAAGTATTTTAGAGAATCGCCCCTTCCTCTAGCCACATCTCAGTAACAAGTTTTCAACAAACCTTTGCTTAGTCTGAGTTTGCTTTTGACTGGAGGGATGCTTCTTATCCACCTCAAATGGACTATATGGTTTTGGAACACAGTAGTTCAGAACTGGAAAAGTGGGGAACTGCAGATAAAATGGTCGGTACTGGCTGTATTGGACAAAACAAGTGCATTAGAACCATCAGAAATGCAAAAGCAGTTTGTTGCAGGAATTACAATTCATACAAGGTACACAGAATGCTAAGTGAATAAATAGCCTAGAATAAGTAATTCCTTCCTTCCTATAAACTTGATGCTTTCTCAGATTTGCTTTGAGTTTCCAAAGCCATCTTACACATTTCCTGGGGTATGGCTTTCATACCTATTTGTTGTTGAGACTTAAGTAACCACTAAAACTTTGTATGATGGTACATCTGTGTTCCTGAGAAGTAGCGATAGTAGTAGTTCCTAACACCCAAGGCATTATTTTTTTCCCCATTTTTCCATTATTTTTTTTTCTTTTGGACAAATTTTAATCAATTCACTATTCAAATTGACCTTTTCATTTTCCAGAAAGATAATTTTCCTGTACACCACTGTACTTAGAGAAATATCAGAACTAGCAACTGTACAGTGCTCTGAATACATTAAAAATGTTTAAAAGAGGACATGCCAATAGTTCACATATTGAATCATGACTGAAATGCTGATGCCAGTGTTGAGACTGACTTTTTTCTCCACATTATTATTATAAGCTACCCAGGCAGAAGACGAAGAGCAAGTCGGGAAAATATAACAGGGATAGCTAAGCATCTCATTCTGCTTCTTAACTGTTACTTATGTTGTATAAACATTTAAACATTAAGGAGAAGTTTATGTTACATAAATATTTAAAAGTGTTTCAGGTGTTTAGTATCTGCCTACATTCAGAAGTCAAATTCACACATTTACGTACAGATACTTAAAACTATGTCCAATTCTCCCCCGCTATCCTCATGCCCCTCATACCTGTTACACCAACTCAGGAGTGTCAGACCAGGTTTAGAGGAGTTTTTTTTTTAAACTCAGGAAAGTGTCAAAGAATTTGGAGCTTATAAACCTCATCCTAGAGCAGAAGTTAGTGAAGAATTTAAAGGTGCAAAACATGTTGTACAGAACTGCACTTGTTAATAATTCATCGTTCTCTCAGCTTCTGACAAACTGGTTACTTCCTTAAACAACCAGGTCAGATCCATTACAGGACCAGAAGGATGTGAAAATTTTAAAGGCTGAAAAGTATCACATTTCATGCTACTGTGGATATTGAAATTGGACTCATATTTTCACTTTTTCCCTTTTAAAAAGAAATGATTGAATGGGAGACTAGATCTAATTTCAAGGGATGATTTTAACTATAACTTCTCTTTCCTAACATCCAAACAGTCTCTGCAGGAGATGAATGTTATTGAGTTGGTACTAGACACTGGAATTTAGTTTACAAAGTTTTATTGATGCTCTTGGCTACAGGATTTGGACCTATGTAAAGATGTCAAGGATCAAAGCTTCCAAGTTTCCTCCTCCATTCCTCTGGCCCTTGGCAGAAAATAACCAAAAAACCCCACTCTCATGATCTATGGACTGGAGCCACATAGTAATTTTCCACTTCCATGACCTATTGCAAATATTGCCTGCTATACTACTACATGCTCAGTCTCATTCAGTAGCTAAACACATCTACCTAGAGCATGCAGAGATGAAAACTTTATATCTCATTACAAGCCCTGAGGAGAGGGACTTGGGGGT